TGTTGCAGCATTCTGGCCATTATCATCCAGATTTAAAAAATTTATAGTGAACAGAGCCATGGCAATGGCTACTCTTGGTGTCGGGGGTAATTCCTTCAATATTCCCCCTTTTTGTTTAAGTAGATAAGATTTGAGTGTGCGATGTGCTCGCTCTACAATACCTTGCCCCTGGGGGTTATAAGGCAGGCCTGTAATGTGTGTGACTTGCATCTGTGCACAAAATTGTTTAAACTTTTGAGAAGTATAGGCAGGCACATTATCCATCTTTAAAGATGTGGGCTTGCCCCAAGCACTCCATGCCTCAAGACAATGTTGAATGACATAAGAGGTTTTTTCTCCTGTAAGTGGTGTGGCATGAATAACGCCAGAGCATGTGTCAATTGACACATTCACATACTGAAGTTTTCCAAAGGCAGTGATATGAGCCACATCCATTTGCCATATTTGCAAAGGCGCAATCCCTCTGGGGTTTACGCCAGTGTGTCTGACAGGGAGAAACTGGCAACAATTGTGACATTGGGTTACAATATCACAAGCCTCCTTTCTGGTAAGAGAAAAACGTTTACGCAGGGTTTCAGCTGTAACATGAAAATTATCATGAAAGGTTTTAGCGGTCTGTAACGGGGAGGCAAGAGCTACCACAGCAAGCTGCATAGCACGATCAGCCAGATCATTACCTAAACTCATGGGGCCCGGGAGTCCCGAATGTGCTCTTATGTGTGTGATAAAAAATGGAGCTCTTCTATTTAGTAAACAGTCCTGTATCCTCTGGAAAAGAGCTGCCACTGTACTAGTAGGTTTTATAATTCCAGCGGTCTCTAATAATTTAACAGCATTAACCACATAGGCAGAATCAGAAACAATATTAAGAGGACAATGAAATTTTTGAAGAACCTCTAAAACCACCATAACATTCCATCACATGGGGTGAGGTGGCAGAAAAGTTCTTTGTATATATTTTAGAATCCACAACATAGGCTCCCACACCATTTTTGGAGCCATCTGTATACATCATCACCCCGTCTTTTAGCAGGGCAGAAGACGTACCTCGGGGAAACACAATGGGATGACATGCAGCAAACTGCAGCAGAGGGTGTTTGGGATAATGATTATCAATTTTTCCTGAAAAGGTGGTAACTAAAATTGCCCAATTGTCAGAGGTGGCGGCCAAAGTTTGTATCTGAAAGGAGGTATAGGGAACTATCATAACCGCTGGATGCTTACCAAAAATGACTAACAGACATTTTAAGGCCTTTAAGGGCAATTTGAGCTACAGCAGCTGGATACCAATCAATACTTTTGTTAGGAGAAGCATGCGGATGGATCCACAGTAACGGTCCATCCTGCCATAACACAGCAGTGGGTAGCTTTCTTGTTTTAAACACACATAGAACAAATGGTTGACTTTCATCAATACGGCACAGCTGTACCTCCTTAATGGATTCCTCCACTAGTAATAAGGCTGCTTCTGCTGCTGGCGTCAAGGCCCGAGGGGAGGTAATATGAGTATCCCCTTCCAACATATCAAACAATGGCTTCAAATCAGCAGAGGGGATTTTTAAAAACGGTCGCAGCCAATTAATATCTCCTAACAACTTTTGGAAATCATTTAATGTTCACAAATCATCCCTATAAATTTTTATTTTTTGTGGTAGAATCTTTTCAGGAAGAATAACAGAACCTAAGAATTGGCCAGTGTCTGTAATCTGGACCTTCTCAGCGGCTATTTGAAGACCCCATAGCTGTAAACTCTTAATGAGCAATGGGTAGGCTTCCCTTAGGACCTGTAAGTTCTCATGACACATGAGTACATCATTTATTTGGTTGTACTCCACAGGCGCATACACCCGTCCATTTTCCCCTTCGTAAATGGGGAAGGCCAGGTGCAGCTTTCTCTTGATCTTGTCAGGGATAAATGAAAAAGTCTTTGGCCCAAGGTGTTCCTCATAAGGAGGCGCCGAAGGGGCATTCGGGCAAGGACGCAGCTCGTAAGGAGGTGGATGGGCCCTTTGGGATGACCTCATGGCCCTACCGCTGGTTAATTCTGCCTCCTCCTCTGCTACCTCTTCTCCTGAGCCAGAACTTTCATGCTCACTTTCATGGTCACTTTCAATTTGCAGAGCTTCAAGCTCCTGCAGAGGATATAAACTACTGTCCTTTCCTTTTTTCTTATTGTTGGTTCCAGAAATCTTTCGACCTTGTAAATCAGTCTTCTCCCCCATTCTTATTTTCTTAAAACCACTGGGGGGTCTTTTATCCTTATTTGAGACTGTGCGCGCACCTAACCTCTCACTGTACTCAGTTTCTGAAATGCTATCCTGGACTTCCTCCGTTGCAGCAACCGCCTGGCAGGATTCATCTTTTAAGCAATCTTTTGTGAAAAATAAGAGGACTACTAAAAGAGGTAGCAAGGCCCCTACGAAACCTTCCCAATGCGGAAACAAGTCAAGTTCAAAACCGAAAAATCCAGGAAAAGCCATATCTCTCTGAGTATACAGACCTGCAGTTCTGAATCCTCCTTGTGTCCAAGGGGTCTCCGGTGGTGCGAGCAGTTGTCAGGGTCCCTCAGCGTCCTGAGGGATTCGGCACCAGATGTCCCGAGCTACTGTCTTGCCAGCAAGAATGACGCAGGGCACGTAGGATCCTTCTGCAGAATAGCTTTTTAATGCATCTTGAGAGCGAGAGCATAAGCCAACATGGCGGAGACCCAGAGCGAGGCGAACCCAGCCCTTATATAGGAAACAGTCCCCGCCTCGGACATGTCACTCTCAGATTGGTCAGCTGCCCATCATCCCAGATGACGCCTCGGGAGAGGCAGGGACTACAGCGTTGGAAATTTGCCAACACATGTGTGTTATCCTGTTCACCGGGCGGTGGAACCGGATGTCAGCGCCATCTTGGAATGGCAAATGTGGTTACGGTCATCTACACTTACTGGGTTTGGGAATCCAATGATCATTTATTTTCTTCATATTTGACCAGCTGCGGATCTCTGCAATATTCTCCACTTGCTGCAAGAAAAGACTTTTGATGAGTTGTGAGAGCTACAGTTACCTGTGATTATAAGTATAAATGCTAATAATTTAGTTAGAAATTATACTTGTTTTGGAAAACAGCAAAGGGAAACTCTACTTCTCGGGTGTGTGATTTCTCCAGTCATGAACAGCTGACTTGCTTTACAGTACCACACATGAATTTCTTACCACTGTGTTGGCCTCAAATCCAATTAGACTTACATTTTTCTTGATTATACCTAAAATAAAAGTGCCACAGTTTTACTGTTATAGATATCTTGCCATGGCAGTCATTGTTATAAGCCGTAGGTCTGACAGATAATAGGACTATTGGTTACATTTTTTCCCCAGACATCTTATGTAGCCTCTTCAAATACTATGAAAAACCTCAGAGAGGAAGTTTGCTTCTGAACTGCTTCTGGTCCTAAGTCTGAAGTGTATAATGTCTTCAAACATCTTATCTTCAAGTTCTGGGAAGCAATCAAGGACAATGACTAGAATCTGTATTTTTTGGGAAGAATCAAGGGAGAAGTTTTCCATTCCTGCACTGGATATTTTGATATTATTCCTGAGGCTAATAACATCACTACATTTGACAAAACATCTTCCAACCCCCTGCACACATGAGTATGCATGAGTATGCGTGTACTAATAAGCAAGCCGGTATGACAGTGTTTCCCAACTGATTACTCCAGTGACTTTGGTTCCATTTGTTATATTGGGAAGAGGGTAATGGAAAAAAAGGAATCAAGAAAGAAATGGATGACACTAACATGTGAACTCTTTAAGGTGATATGTTAAAACAAACACATGATATTCTTCAACATCCAATTTCTTCCATCCATGATATACTCTATGTATTCAATTGAAAACCCCTTCTCATTGTTCCAGTGTCACCACGTGCCACATCTGTCACTCATTCATCACTCAAGTAATTCTCCTGTAAATCCTAGCATCACCTTTAAAAGAAAACAAAGGTGCAGCTCTCTCATTTACACTACTTTGGTCTTGTATTATTCTTTATGTGAGGCTTTAAAAAAATTTAAATAATTCAATTTAACTTTTAATTTTAAAAATACCCTTATACTTTGATCACTTGATTACTGAGTATTACCTATATTTAAGACCTCTACTTAGTATATTTTCTGTTGATCTTCTGATCCTAGGTAATCCAAAAACTAAAGTCACATATCAGTTTCCAGAATCTGCATGTGCAATCTTACAGAAATTGATGACCTCAGGAATGGTCATCACAGTGTTTCCTTGAGAGGAAGGAATGTAGATGCTTGCACTCACATACTTTTTAGAGCCTTTGTAGACTAGATCCTGATAACAAGCTATTCAACTACTTCTTGGGCTTATGAAAGGCCTGTAGACAGGTTAAATGAACAAACTAACTGCCTTAGCAGACAATATCACTCAGATTAGTCTGTCAACTATGAGTCTAACAATTCAATTGCTAATTTACTTTTTCCCTAGGGACATGTGTAGGAGAAGGCTATTGTTTATCTGCTTCCCAGGGTTTCGGTCAGTAGAATTCGTTAGGTGCACTACCAAGCTATTTAAGAAATTATATGCATGTGCATATGTTTATCAACATTCTTATAATAATTTCTTAAAATGATAATAATAAAATATGTACTTTATATTGCAAGTACTTTATATTGGCTTCTTTGTTGAGAAGAAATTGCTGACTAATGTTCTCGCTAATATTGCTAACCAAAGATCTTGCTACTATTCAAACATCTAAGAAACAGAACAGTTATGCAAACAGGTCATGGACTCTTGAATTTGCTTTATTTACTGCATTTGCTTTCGTCAACCTCAGTTATATTTTAACTCAAGGATTTTTCTTCTTAGATACAAGGATAAGCGATGACACAGGGGACACACTGTGTCAGAAGATTTGATGTCCCACAATGACTGTGAAGTGGATGTTTGCTCTGCTGCTCCTGCAGATGACTTGCTACTTCAGATCTGGGAGCTGTGGGAAGGTGTTGGTATGGCCATTGGAATATAGTCACTGGCTGAATCTAAAGACAATACTGGATGAACTTGTACAGAGGGGTCATGAAGTGACAGTTCTGAGATCTTCAGCTTCCATCTTTCTTGATCCCCAAAAATCACCTGGTCTGAAGTTTGAGAGTTTTTCTACATCTGTCAGTAAAGATGATCTGGTCAAGGTTTTCACAAAGTTGGTGGATGTACGGACTAATGAGGTACCAAGAGATTTGTGTTTATCCTTCTCTCCTTCACTACAAAATGTGGTTAATGAAGTATCTGATACCTATCTAAGGCTTTGCAAAGACACAGTTTCAAATGAACAACTTATGACAAAACTACAGAGATCCAAGTTTGATGTCCTTTTCTCAGATGCTATTGCTCGCTGTGGGGAGTTGATAGCTGAACTTCTCCAGATCCCTTTTCTGTACAGTCTTCGCTTCTCTCCTGGCTATACAATGGAAAAGTACAGTGGGAGATTTTTAATCCCTCCCTCTTATGTACCTATAATTTTGTCAGGACTAGGTGGTCAAATGACATTCATGGAGAGGGTAAAAAATATGATGTGTATGCTGTATTTTGACTTTTGGTTCCAGACATTTAATGAGAAGAAATGGAGTCAGTTTTACAGTGAAACGTTGGGTGAGTTATGTTTCTTCTCAGTAGCTCAGTGACCTAAATTTCACAAGTATTTAAATCTATAGTCATATCCATAAAATACAAAGTAAACTTGACTTTTATAGGTGATCAAATGTAATATGATATTAGCTCTCAAATTCACTGTAAAAGCTCATATTATTGATCAAAGAGAAGCATGTATCAGACCTTATACAGGACATTCTGGTAAGGTACAGAGCCGCAAAGAGAAGCAAGTAAAGTTTTTCTCAGTGGTTCCTCCTTGTTTTGCTGTAATTTTTAATCTATTTTAATAAGTAACTAGTTAGTTATTCAAATCATAATTAGTGTATATCAAGGAATAAAATATTTTACAGTTTCAATATGTATATAACATTAAAGAAATTATTTTCCCTTGCATAGGCAGCTGTCTTTATTTAAAATTGAACTGAGGGGCTTGAAAATATGACTAAAAGTTTATGAGTTTTGTTTCTTTTCATTTTGTGTAACCAAGTTCTGTTCCTAGCACTCATCCAGGACGATTGACTCAAAACTGCCTGTAACTTCTGCTTTTGGGACCTGCTGCCCTTTTATGGTATTTGCCAATTTCTGAATAAACTTGGTATATATTCACACAGACACACATATATAAATAAAAAATATAAATTATAAAATATTTTCTCTGTATTTCCTACAGAATTCCTTTACACTGACAAGATACTGTTAGGTCACAGGCTTAAAAGTGGAACTGGGGTTTCTACCAACACCATACATTTTTTATTGTATACTTTCCTAACATCCATTGTTTAAACACCACAGAAGCATAAATACACAGGTACCTGCTCTTTATTTTTTGGAGTCTTGTTTTCTTTTTTCTTTAAAAGTATTTCATAGGTAAGACTAGCCAAAATTTCTCTTCTCATAATTTCTGAAAATATTGTGCTTGTATTTGTAAGATAAGTATTATTAAATTTCTTAATATGAAACAAAGTTAGAAGCACTAACCAGAAATTCAGCCATTCATAAACTTTACAGCTCCTTTAGCAAAACAAGGAAGAAGGAATGGCTACAAACTACAAGGACACTGGGGAAGTCTGGCCATGGTACACAGCGTTATGTGAATTTTGGCCCTGGAATGTATGTTTATATTTGCACTGTTCCTTTTAAAAATGTAGAGAGGAGTTAAAGGTGTGCTTATTAAATAGGGGCTTAGAGGGTTATTTCAAATTACTATGGAAACATAAGGTAATTCTTACAGTTTGCTTTAAAAATAAACCCCTAACTGATATTTATGTATATCATATAAGTCAAATATACTGCAAATTATGTTACATATGAAGAAACATTGGTGTTTAAAAGCATAAGTTTCATATCAAACATATATTCTTCCATCATTTTAAGGAAATATATTTTATGTTCGAATGACAATTCTGTCAACTTTTCTCTTTCTAATTTGTTCATTTCTCCTTCTAGGACGGCCCACTACCTTAACTGAGACAATAGGCAAAGCAGAAATGTGGCTCATTAGATCCTACTGGGATTTGGAGTTTCCTCGCCCATCCTTACCAAATGTTGACTTTGTTGGAGGTCTCCACTGCAAACCTGCTAAACCCTTGCCTAAGGTAAATATATTCTTTAGATATATTTTTCTTTTGATTTACTTTCTGGTGAATGTGATTCTACACCCTTCAGTACATTTTTCTCCCAGGGATAGAGATATATAGGAACTGGACTTAAGCCTCCTGCTAAATAGGAGTTCGATTAACAAAGCAGAAATATGATAGACCTAGGAAATATTCATATCAGTAAACTACATTAGGTTAACTAGGGTACTTAGGTTGTTAGCCATTGTGTAAAGTCCTTACCTAGTAACAATGAGGATGTAACTTTGAATCCTAACACCCACGTAAAATTTTGGTGACCCAGCACAGTTCTATGATATGAGCACTGAGGTTGCAGAAATAGGTTGATTCTGGGATTATGCTGACCACTACTCTGTTAATAAAATGGTGACATTAGTGTTCAATGTGAGACAATCTCAAAACCTATGTTGAAGATTGATAAAAGAAGACATTAGATTTTAACTTTTGGCATCTATGTGCTAAACAATGGCAAGGAACCTCCCTAGCACACTCAAAACAAACACACACACACACACACACACACACGGGCACAGACACATAAGCACACATGAACATGTGTGCAGACACACACTAAGAACACACATGTTCACATGCATATACACAAACAGAAATTTGCACACAAGCTATCAGACACATAAACACATGCACAAAAGACAGAGAAATTAAGTCAGGTAAACTCATCATTCATAAACTGCTCATCACCAAAAGCTATGATTAACATATATCCAAGGTAATTGTTTGATAATCAAACAAACAACATAGAAATAGTTTCTCTCCAACCAGTAAATTTTGAATATCAGCTCTGAAAATACCCTCTGAAAATATTCATACACCATATCAGAAAATTATTGTATAGTATATGTTTATCCTGCATCTATAATTATTTTACAAAGAAGCAAAATAGTTTATTAATCATAGTAGGACGTTTGTGAAAATCACCACATATGTACATACTATAATATAAATATTATTTCATCAAACACTAGTTAATAATATTAAATCAGCCATTATAGGAGAAAAATTAAATAGCAAGGGAAAAAATACTACCCTTTCTGTAGGAAGAAAGCTTGTAAATGAAGCAACAATTTATAAATGCTTCATAGAATATGTTTGCACTCCTGAGCTTTAATTTTGTCCGAGGAAATTATTTTGAATGTCTGTTGGACAATGTGTAAGTATAGTTTGTGTGGATGACTGAGAAGTTCAAAGTCTTTGATATTGTCATGTTTGTCTCTGTATATTTTAACACCACTATACTAAATATTCTTATAAACACTTCAATTTTCATTCTTTTAGTTTTTTCACAAAAGGTTTCATAAGTGATTATTCTACAACTATAATTTGTTATGAAATAAATTCTCTTCACAGGAAATGGAAGACTTTGTCCAGACTTCTGGAGAGCATGGTGTCGTGGTGTTTTCTCTGGGGTCAATGGTCAGAAACGTGTCAGAAGACAAAGCCAATGCAATTGCATGGGCCCTTGCCCAGATTCCACAAAAGGTGAGGGAAAGAATTCCATGGGAGGTGACTCTATACAAAGTCTGTGAATGTCCTTGAAAGGTCTGATTATAGAAATGATTGTGTGAAAGGTAAAGTTTTAAGGATGCTCTAATTTCCCTTAATCAAACAGATATCAACAACAGATGTTTCAATACTGCAGAACGTGGTTTTGACTGAAAGTGACTTGGATGTAAACACCGTGATCAATGTGAGAGCATTCTGAAATGCTGGCATGATGATGACATTGTTATCAAGAGTATGTCGACATAGTGATACTTCAGAGTCAGTTTTTCTATTTGTTGATTATTTAAAGTCACTACATACATTAGATTTTCAGTGGTGAGTTAATTTGTATTTAGTATTTTTATCAGAATAACAGTAAGCAGGTGTTGAAAAAGTTTGAAATGTAGCCTGACTGTGCACCCTAATTTTCGAGTTCAGTGTGCAGTTGAGAGGGCCCTTTAAAGGAAGGGAGTCCGAGGTTCACCACCTGTAAATCAAAGTACAATTTTGGCTGATTAAGAGAAAAAGCAATAAATGAAAAAAAAATCTGTTTTCTGGTTGGCCCGCCAGTATTTGTAGGAGAAATATCTAAGGGAAAGTTAAAGACGGGTGTTTCCCTCACAGTGATGTCTGCATCATAAAAGATGAAACTCACAACTCTGCTCTAAACCAGTCAGAGTAAAGTCTTACCACTCAAGATATAGGAAAATAAGAAAGGAACCAAAAGAACATAAGGTAAAAAATAAAGTTTCAGATGACTCACTTCATAAAGCATACTACAAAGTAATTTTCTATGGATTAAATTTGAATGTTTATGAATGTTTTTAAGTTTGGTAGTGGAACAGCCTATCTTTAATTACCTACATTAATTTTTTGATGTCATCTCGTAGTTGATTTATCAGTCATGTAGCAAATTCATCTTAACTGTGTGGCTAATGCTTCATTTTATAAGGTCTGTCTGAGAATTTCAAAAATAACAGTTATTCTAGGCTTCAACTTGAGACTGGCTTTTCTGTCACAGAGCATCCATGAATATTTGGAGTACACGACTGGTTTTGAGGGAACCTTTTTTAGGGATACTGAGTGGAATGGATAGAGAAGGGCTGATTTAGGGAGGACTGATGTAGGGGAATGAATATGACAACAAGATACTATCTGACCTCCCAAAGAAGTGAAGAAAAAAAGAGATGTCAGTTTCACTTTCTGTGATCATAGTCGTCGTTTAGATGGCAGATGGAGTCCCAATGTGCAGGCATGTTCTGAGCTTATTGCTCTGAATAAATAACTTCACAAAAAAACAAAAACAAAAAAAACAATAGTTTTGGAGGGCGAATGTGATACAGCTGGTTGAATGTTTTATTTTAAAACCTAAACTGTTCCTGCTCCAGGGCCAGTGACACTTGGGAGAACAGGGCAGAAAATGGGGTAGAATAAAGTCTCAGGCCAGAGTAAACATTATTCAGAGAACCAGACAACGTATGTGCCGAAGGTTAAGAAAGGTCTTATGAGCAAAACATCCATGAGTTAAAGCTGTATGCAATCATAATGAGAAACTCTGTGTGACAAAAACATGTTTTTCCACAGAGGCACACAAAGAGCAGTTTAAATATTAACTAGAAAACAGCAGCAAGCAGTAGTGGCTACCCTGAAGTAAACACACTCCTTTCTACTACATCTGGGAGAAGGGCAAAAACACATTCCAAGAAATAATAGGGTATGAAGTTAAATGTAAAACAGTTTTCTATCTTTCCATAATAATGTATAAACAAAATTTGAATATCCATACAGTTCTGTAACTCTCCTTAAAACTGATTGTTAGTTAGGGGTAATATAGTACAGTAAGGATCAAAACCATATGCTTGTTGACATTGGACCCTCCCCTGATTCACTGATTGAGCAATAAAAAGAAGGTAAGCAGTTAGTATTTTATGGCCCTTATGGTGTAAATAAATTCATTCTAAAGGTTTATCCTTCTGTGCTACATTATGTCTAGGAGACAATTGAGCAGTAAAAATAAGTTTAAAGGCAGCAAAGTATCCACACTGTGGGGGCCCAGAGATTTAGTTCCACTCCACATTGAGCAAAGGCCAGAGAATTCAAGCCTATTTCTGTTCCTTTAAGGATAAGATAGGTTTGACGCAGGGAGTGACTGCCTACAGGATACTTGGTCTAAAGTAGAGTCACAGCATGTCCTGCCTAAAACTTCAGAGTGCTTAACCAAGGAAATTGTGAGTTGATGTCTCAAGTATTGAAGCAAGTAATTGTTCTATTTGTTCTTTGTGTCAGGTTAAATCAGTCTTTTGTCTTCTTCCCCCTTTTTTGGATTGGGGTATATAAGCAGATGAAAAAAAAAACACAGGCATATTCACTATTCAGTATTCACTGGATAATCCTCCTGCTTCTATCCTAAATGTCTGAATTTCTTTCAAGTCTCTGTTCCTCCTACCTGAGTTTTCTAATCCACAGGCTGCTACCCTGGAACTTGCAAAACCTGTCAAGGCTGAACCCCAACAGAGGTCACCACAAAAGGTGTCACTCCAACTTGTGGTTATGACGTTACACAATATAAGATGCCTTATTTTAATTTAAAATTAAATAATTATAATTCTTCCGTTCCACTCAAGATAAAACTAAGAACTATAGAATGCTTTCTCTCTTTTCAGAGTTTTAGAAATATTGGTTAAGTCATAATTAGGTATTCATAAAGTGGTATACAGAAAATTGACATACCCTAATGGTTTATGAAAGTCATTTAATGTTTTAAAATTGCCTAATGGACATTTGTGGTGGAGGTGGGAAGTTGCTTAGAGGTTGTTCTAGTAACTAGTTACCCCAGATACTACACAGTTGTTTCATTGCAGTACTTTTTCAGGTGTAATAATAAGCCCATATTTATGTAGTACATCCTGAGTCATGTCCTATATGGATTGTAGCTCTTTCTCTTTGGGGAAGACTAACAGAACATCATCCGTATAATTAATAATATTGAATTTTTAAAAAAGAAATAAAAAGATAAGGAAAGGATGTAGTTGTTCTTATGTATACTGGAGAAGAAGGTTTATTATAGATATATGAGAGAGCAGAGCCAGAGGCAGGGACAGCAACATCTCGAAGAGTCCTGAGAGGTCATGACAAGACTGAGCCGGTCAATGTGAGGAGAAAGGAAAGGGGAAGGGAGAGGGTAGAGAGGAGAATCAGGTGAAGCAGCCTAGAGACAAAAGGCATGAAAAAGAGCAGGTTATCATAATGGTTGTGTTATGTAGGGAAGAACAGCCCAGCCCATTGGTCTGGAAAGTCCAAGATATGGGGCAGGGTATATCAGGCAGGAGGGTTTCACAGGTAGGGACTGAAGAATGAAGGGAAAACCAGGCAACCAGGTCAACTTTGCAATATTAAATAATCACCTTAGCAATTTGTCCAAGTTTGAACCTAACAAATCTAAGCCCATCCAAAGGAAGACCTCCCTCACAGGCTCTAATCATTTGCTGCATAGTATTGACACATAATAGGGGATTTTGTAATGTCTTGGTTTAATACAGTCCATTAATATCAGAACTGAGATCATTTATGATTGAATGAAGGAACAGAAAAGCCAAAATGTACCTTATTATGAGGACAAATATGTATAGTAAAAAACCATTTTTTACAAATGCAAATCTATTAAATGGCAACTATAGCTGTCTTTAGATAAACCAGGCTGCAAAGCTCCGATTGGCCACATGGTGGCATTAACATTTCATAAGTCTTTCAATCATCTCCATTTGCCAGATAATTTATAATTATAAAACCTGGAGAACTCCAGGAAGAAAAAGAGGTCTCTATGTGCCTTTTCTATACTGTTCTCTGTCGACCTTGTGAAGAGCCCATATCTTTTCTTTAGAAACTGAAAGGACAGGGTAGTTAGATTTTATATAATTTTGACTCCTATGAAATCCCAAATTGTGTTTATATTCTTATCCATGTGAGAATATAGGCTTCATAATCACTTGTACCTCTTTTCCTAGTCCTTTCATTTTCAAGAACTCAATATTTTCATTAGCAATTCTGATTGTGAAGTTGACTGAAAGTCACACCAAGGTAAGATTGAGGCAAAGAGACCTTAAACCCCGCCCCACAGTGACATACTTCCTCCAGCAAGGCCACACCTCCTGATATTGCCACTCCATTAGGGGGCCATTTTCTATCAATTCACAACAGAAATGCACAAAGGGCAGTTTAAACATTATCTAGATGACAATAGCAAGGAGTAGTTGTTAACCCGAAATAGATCCACTCATATCTGTTATACCTGGAAGGGGAATAAAATACACTTACCAAAATCCATCTAGCATTTTGAAGAAATTGAGGTCACAAGAATCTTGTCTTGTTTTCTTAGAGTGCTTTCTCAAGGACTCAGAATTCTGCTCATGTGACTCTATTCCTGGATCATGTTCCAAAACTATACTATGCAAAGTTACTCCCTGGATGGGCCAAATGATTCAATACTCCTATTGGTCAATATGATGGTATTGTTTCAAAGAACTTCAGACCAGAGAGAATTGTGGATCAGGAATATTTGTCATGAATAAGTAGCCAAAGATTAACAACTTGAAATTCAATGAAACTAACTAACTCACAGGTGAATAAAGTAAACACCCCAAAGCATTTAAAATATAATTGTGTTTAAAGTAGACTATTAGAACTGTCAGAATATGTTTATATAAAATAAGAATTATTAGTAATGTGCCACTCTTCCCTGCAATTGAATTATACCACCATGGGAGTTTATTAAATATTTTATGCATCATTAGCTATGTCATTTGTCTAAACATCTATGCTTAGAAAAATGATGATTATGTTCAACCTGTCTGAATGTAAAAATAAGCACAGAATTCTGGAACTATCTTCTTCTTAGTCTCTCTAGAGATCTCAATATTTAACCTTTTTGAAGGCCTCATCCCTTTTATGGGAGGTATTTACCTATGTTATATTTAAACATAAAAATATCTATTTTTATAATTTCTGTTTTTAAAATTATAATACAATTGCATCATTTCTCCATTTTTGTTATTCCTCCAAACCCTCTCATATTCATTCTTCTTGTTCTCTTTCAAATTCATTGCATCGTTTTTTGAATGTTGTTACAAACATATATGTAATATATATATATGTATATGAATATGTTCCTATTCCTAAATATAACTGATTTAATCTGTATAATGCTAAATTTCACTCCAGCAATAAAGGTGATCTAATCTTTAACAGGTTCTTTGGAAATTTGAGGGCATAACTCCAGAAACCTTAGGACCCAATACCAGAGTTTACAAATGGCTCCCCCAGAATGACCTTCTAGGTAAGCCTCTCATAACAAACCTATCCTGGTTGACTTCAAAATCCTTTATATTACACTTAATGAATGTATTATTTATTTAAGATAACAAGTTCTGATATGCAGTTGGTCATTTTTAATACTCATTTTTTTCTTAGCTACCATGCACCTCATGTGTTCAACTGGGAATCAGGATTTCATAGTTAAACTCTCAAGTTCAAAGCAATTCTGCAAAATATTTCTCTGCAAATTTAGTTTCTTCTTACTCTGAGAAAAAAACATTTCACCAAGGTTATGAGTATTAGAATCTTCACATAGGTTTTCTTGGAATGAGAAGTGAGGGGAAACAGGAGTTGTGTGGTAAACTAAATTAATAAATTGAATTAAGTAAAATTAATCTTCTTGTAGAAAATCCCCTTTCAGTTCCTGATAGTGCACATTTCTCCTTTCATGTCTAAGACTGCTAATTAATGTCAACCTGAATTCATCTTATTCTAGGGCATCCAAAAACCAAAGCCTTTGTTACTCATGGTGGCGCCAATGGAATTTATGAGGCGATCCATTTTGGAATCCCTATGATTGGCATTCCTTTGTTTGGAGAGCAACATGATAATATTGCCTACATAGTAGCTAAAGGAGCAGCTGTTTCATTAGATTTCAGAACAATGACAAGGGTAGATTTGCTCAGTGCACTGGAGGCCGTCATAGATAATCCTTTGTGAGTATAACCTTTTGAAATGTACATATGTTGTTATTTGTTTATCATTAATTGCAATTCTTACTGAAGGTCAAAGGAGCAAGAATTATCCTGAAGACAAAAATAATAGAAGGTACAGAGACAAATTAGGGTATGATTCAGTGTCATGTTTTTTTTTCCTCTTTTTGTTATTAATTTTCATTTTTATGTTGTACTTTATATTTCTTTCCTATGTCAATCATACTGGTCCTAATTGTTTAATCCTTCTACTTAATCCTCCAAACAGATTGTCCAACAGGCTCTGGACAATTTTTATTTTCGATTCTTTTAGTAAAGTAATTGGTCAGAGTTTTAAGGATAGTATAAAACTTAAATAGTCAGTAAGTGAAGTGAAATTAAATGTTGGAGGGGAGAGTCAGTTGTTTGTTCCTTGTCACCGAGACCCAAAACTATCACACAGAGGCTATATTAATTAAATCACTGCTTGGTCCATTATCTCTAGCTTTTTATTGGATAACTCTTATATATTAATTGAACCCATTTATAATAATCTGTATATCACCACATGGCAATGACTTACAGGCAAAATTTCAGCACATCGGTCTCCAGCGACAGCTCCATGGCATCTCCCTGACTCTGCTTTCCTCCTCCCATGCTATAGGTCAAGCCAACACACAGACAGATGGACCGAGCACACCATTTTCCTTTTTCTATCTAAACAGAAGGAAGGCTTTAACATAGTAAAATTTCAATTAATAAAACAATTATCAAGCAAGAATTACAGTTACAATTTTTATATCTACTTTATCTTTTAGCATAACTAAGGAAAACTATAAGCATAAATTCTTCAACTCTATCAAAGACGCCAGAAAGATTGCATTGCCTAAGTAAACAGGAGGTGCATTGTCAGCAACTTCCAAAACCGTAGAATTGAAAGAAACATCTTGATGCCTGGATAGTCATCCAAGGTTCTTCTGTATTGTTGGGCCATCTTCAGTCCACAGGTCCATAATATCCAGCAGACTTTTTCATGAAGCACAGAATCTTAAAGATACTTCTGCCTATACTGGAAGTTTGTCAGTCTTTTTCTTCTGTGTCCTACAGAACATCTGGCAGACTCTTTCATGTAGCAGGAACTCCGAAGAACCATCTCACCTTTAGGCAATTTCAGCAGTCATTTTTCTGCAGGTCCTGCATGTCCGTTTATGTGGCCACACAAGAGCAGTTTCTTGCCCAATTGTCTAACAAACTTCATAAGGAGCCTCTTTGATGCCCATCTTCTTCTTGAAGTAGCTTATGCTACCAGGTGCAGATGTGTCTAATTGTCATGAAAAGTCCTAATTTCTTGAAACATTTAAATGCCATATTCTGAAGATCTCTGAAAGATTTGAAGAATACCTAAATGAATTATCTCTATATATATCTAGAAAACCTAACATAACTACAAGCTTGACTATTATAGATGACTATCTTTTAACCTTTATTTCTTAATTATACATTATATTTTTAAATGAACTACACAATCAAAATACCATAATCAAGAGCAGAAATATACATGCAATAAGATTGACCTTAGATTTGCATCAATAAACCTAGATCCATTCAAATGTAAATATCTATAACATATCCTCCTTTAATATAAAGAGACATTTATAAATAATATTTAGGAATATGGGTATAGTTTTTCTCCAAACTGATTCCTGCTGTTTATTGGAAAAGTAATTTTTGAGGGGTGTTCAAGGCAACCTTTCAGGGGTTCTTGGTCCATCAACCACACCAGTCTGGAAGCAATCCATAGGTTCTCAACCTCTGTGAAAACAAGAGAAGAACCTCTTTTCCAAAGCAACACATCCTTAAATTCAAATTTGGAAGTCATGATACCTTTATAATATATATGCTGGTTTAGCTTAGCAGCACATACAATGAAATATCTCTCTGTACTTAGTTTTTCACAGTCAAAAAATTCAAAGAAAACACAATAATATACATAATCCAGACTCCCTGTGAATTTTCCATTATCTTTACATGGTTTATTTTTCTTTACTCCTTTTATTGTATGACTTTCTATACTATGTCTCTTTAAAGACTTTGTTTTTTATATAATTTTTTACAACTCTTATACTCTTTTTTTTTCTCTCCCAAAGCTACATACATTTATCCAACTCTGTGACCCATTTAGAGATCTTTTCTTTCTGAATTTGTCCTATTTTGTACCTATAAATATTTACTGTCCAAAAGAGTTTTTTAAAATGCTAAGAGCTTCACTGGTCAGCAGGCTTCTTGTCTCTACAGTCCTGTCCTAGGATTGCATACCAGTTTGCCCCTGGTTTTGCAGCCAATGTGGCCACCACCGGTAGTGGCAGCTAAAGCCACAGCCACCAAAGTTGGCTGAAGCCACAGCTACCAGAGTGACCAAGCCCTCTGAGTCTCGGAGTTTTCTGTTGCAGCCTCACTACAACATCCTCCTCAGGAACTTGGGCCCCAAACTCCACTAGAGTCACCACACTTTGCTGGGTATTTTTTTTAATCAGGATATTGCTGATTTTATGAGCTGGCTTTGGAAAAAAATCTCTCCATTTTAATTTTTCAGCTGATGGATAGAATTTTTAATAGCCATTGATAGTTTTGTATAGCCTGGTATACTGTTTAATAGCCATATCTATTTTTTATTTTCTGTCCAGAAGATCGGTCAATTGCTGAAACTGAAGTGTCAAAAATTCCCTCTTTGTCTCTGATTGTTTGTTTGTTTTGCTTGTATATTATGATTTCTGATTTTGTTTTTTAATGGTATGTTATGCTTTTTCTTTGTTTTTGTTTGTTTTTACTTTGTTTTAATTGATTTTTGTTTATTTCATTTTTACCTGTTTGTTTCCTAAAAAGAGAGAGAGAGAAAGAAAATGTGGAGTTGGCTGAGTGAGGAAGTGGGCAGTATCTAGGAAGATTTAGGAAAGGACCATGATCAGAATATGCTGTTTGAAAAAAAATTATTTTCAGTTTTAAAAATAAAGTCCTTTACCATTATTAAAAAAAATGCTAAGAACTTCTTAAAGCTTATACTGTGCCATTACTATGGTATATGTGGTACCTCTTGCTTGCCTGTCCAGTCTAAAACTCAAGCTGCACCATTACTATGTTATATATGGAACTTCCAGCTTGCTAGGCACAGTCCAGCATGGCAGAGCTGTTTGCTGTCTCTGAGAGCCATGTCCACAGCCTCAATTTCAGGCACACATCCAGTCTATGCCACAATTAAGCAAGCTGCAACAGTCTGTTCACAAACCCCACCCAAATGTTCTGACTATCAAAAGAGCTAGAGGTCACACTAGCAGCAAGGCCAGAATGCTGGCATTTCAAAATGGTCACAACTGAATCAGAAAAACCTCTCTTAAGGGAGCTGCAGCACACTGCCAGCAAACAGCAAGAAGCTGTGTTAAACTCTGTATTTTTGTGTATAGAATTCCTTTTCAAGCTTTCTCACGTTTTACATGGATTTTAGTCCACCACATTGACACCAATTTGTTGAAGAGGAGAGCCACTTGTTGGTTCTCAGCCATCCAGAATGGAAATAATCACATAGAATGTGTATTAATTAAATCACTTCTTGGCACATTCGTTCTAGCTTCTTATTGGCTATCTTACATATCAATTTAACCCATATCTCTTAACCTGTATATCACCATGAGGTCATGGCCTACCAACAAAGTTTCAGTATGTCTGTTTCCAGCAGCTTCATGGCATCTCTCTGACTCTACCTTCCTTTTCCCATCATACAGCCTAGCTTTCTGCACCTAATAATGTTCTTCCTTGCCAAAGGCTCAGAGCAGTTCTTTATTCATTAACCAATAAAAGCAACAGATATTCAGAAAAACCTCCCACACCATTTCCCCTTTACAGGATATAGACCTGCCAGACTTTTCCAGTAAGCCACTGATTTGTAGTGATATACAGATTAATAGAAATATGTTAAATTAATATGTAAGTGTTTCCAATAAGAAGCTAGAGCTAATGGGCCAGGCAGTGATTTAATTAATGCAGTTTTGTGTGATTATTTCAGGTCTAAGGTAGCTGGGTAGCAAGGAACCAACAAGTGGCCCTCCTTGCAACAGTGAAATGTTAGAGATGGTACCAGATATTGTGCACCTAGAAGCCATAGGAAAATATTACAACAGATAAATTGATTGTTATAAAAGAGATAGGTAAGTTATATGAAAGCTGTAACTTTCTACATTGAAAGAAAATAGATATTAGTATAAAGGTAAGCATATGGTTAGATATTTAAATATAAAACTTGTCTTAGGATAAATTTAAATAATGAAAAACTATTATTTTGAAGCAAATTAACATGTTGATAATCATTTTTATTTGATTAAAAAATCTATTTTTAAGTCCTTTCCAAAAAGAGCTTTTTTGGAAAAAGAATTTTTCTGACTTTTAGCATCATTTCAGAGCCTATAAAAATGTTATTCAGATCCTTTTGGAAGAAGCTGCTTGTTTGTTCCCAGTCACTCAGACTCAAAAATAACCAAACAGAAACTATATTAATTACAACACTGCTTGGTCTATGTGCAGATGCATATTTCTTGCAAGCTCTTATATCTTAAGTAAACCTATTGCTATTATTCTGTGTATCACCACATGGTTTGGACCTACCCATAAGTGTCTGCCATCTATCTCCTCTGGGGGCTGCATGACTTCTCTCTGACTCCACCTTCTTTCGCCCAGAACTCAATTTAGTTTTCCCTGCCTAGCACTATTCAGCCCTGTCATTGACCTAAGTCAATTCCTTATTAACCAATCTTATTCACAGAATACTGTGATAATACTATATAATATATTTAATGTTTACAGAAAAAGATTCACATTATGATCTTGTTTAGGGACCTATGTAGTTGATAATGACAATAGATGTCATATTTATTCAGATTTTGTTAGGGACCTACGTTTTTCAAAATGACTAAGAATGACTATTGGTGTCATCATTATTCAGATCTTGTTTAGGTTTGCATATTGCTAAGACTTCATGAGTGTAGTTTATCAAGGAAGCACCTTCACAGCAGTTCCCTCTGGCTTTCAAAATTTTTCAATCCTCACTATTGTTTTATACTACAAAAGCTACTTTTCAAGTAAGGGGATATCAAGTCAGTTCAAGCTGAGAGGTCTTTGGCCTCTGCTTCATAATTGAATGATCATTCAGCAATAGAAAATTACCTTTCACCTTGGGGAAATAAGCAACATCAGTAGACTCAATGTTTAGGGACTTTCTTTGACAGACCTGGCAAACTTCTTATAAAAAAAATTACTCATGTTTGGTGTTGAGGTGTATGTAAGGTGCTCTTTGACTCTTCAACTGAACACCATCGGTCCAGAAGAGGACAAGATCATTAAAATTATATATGTATATTTATACATGAAATTGTATGCGTTAAAGGGGATTTGGATAAATTATTAATAGTAAAATTTGTTATTGCTTTTTCTGATATTTTTATTGGTACTTTATTACTATCTGTACTTTTTTATATAAACCTTCCTCACCCTTCCCTAAGGAGCTTCACCTCTTCCCATTATGTAATCATATAAGTTACAAAATAAATTTTAAATAGATGTAACATGCATACTAAGAAATGATAATTAATTAATGAGAACAAATAAATAATTCTCTCATCTTGCTTTGTAAATAAAAAGGCAGTAAGTTACCATTATTATCATTGCTACTTCTGCTGCATCAAATTGACATCGGAGTTGATGACTTGTCTTTATAACTCTTCTCCTTTAGATGTTCATCAATAATTGTTTCAGCATTAGAATCAAGTACACATTGTATTTGATCTTCAGTGTGAAATTTTTACAACTCATACTTATAAAATGGCATTACTAACAAAAATTATCAATAATAAGATCAAAAATTAGACTTGAAAGATGGCTCTGTGGAAAGGGGATGGTCTACCCTCTCAGAGGACCAGAGTTCTGTTCCCAACACTTACATCAGTTGGTTACAAACATCTGTAACACTAACTCCAGCAGCTCTCATAACACACACACACACACTCACACACAAACAATGTTTATACACTTTGCACACATGCACTCTTACATACATATTTAAAAGTAATAGCAAAAATTTATTGTAATTATACTTTATAATAAGAATAATAAAAGTAATAAAAATTTCAGTACAGTGACAGAGAAGAAAATTATTTTTCCTATTAATTTTATCAAATATTTGATAACCTTAATTAGAAAAATGTAAAAGCAATAAGAAGCAGCTGTTAGAGCTAATTAATAAGAACCAGAAAACATTTGCAATTAAAACCACTAATCATTGATACATGTAACATAACAATCTCATTTCAATCTTTATCAGATTTACAAGATTTACACAGATATGCACCAACATGAAAACTCAAGAATGACTTGCCTTCTACTTATACATCTTGAAACCAGTACAGATTTTGTACACAATAATTACTAATAATTGCTTATGGGTAACTGAAGCTTTATATACTCAAATAATATCTTATTTTGATTTATTTTGTATTTACACTTAGCTGTCTCTAAACTCTTTTTTAGGGATATTTGATCTTTATTATTTTTCTTTTTAAATGCTTAATCTTGCATTTTCAAAAAACTCAGACATGCCTCTGAATATCTTCCTAGTCATGAACATGAAACAAAATATGAAACAAAATATATTTTCCTTATATATGGTGTGATTATCTATAATGTTTACACAAGAGTTTACACATGTGCATTTTTTATTTCTTATGTAAGTTGATGTCTGTTTTCCTTCTGTCAGCTATAAAAAGAATGCTATGTGGTTGTCAACCATTCATCATGACCAGCCCATGAAACCCCTGGACAGAGCCATCTTCTGGATTGAGTTTGTCATGCGCCACAAAGGGGCCAAGCACCTGAGGCCACTTGCACACAACCTCACCTGGTACCAGTACCACTCTCTGGATGTGATTGGATTCCTACTGGCCTGTGTGGCAGCCATAACTTTTGCTTCCACGAAATCTTTCTTATTCATTTATCGAAAGTTTGTAAAGACAGGAAAGAAAACGAAGAGAGAGTAGAGCTCACTGAGAAGGCACATGAACTATATTTCAGCATCGTTCTAGTTTATGAACGGCCTTCTGAACATTCACTGATTACTCTATCAAGACATATCTTCATTAGACAGGAAGGGAAGGGAGAAATAATGCAATTATATTATAATCTCAAAAAAATAAAAGACATAATGAAAAGAACAAAGTTGAGCAAATGATAAGGAATAACCTAGTAAGCAGAGTTCCTCCATGGTATCAGTTTCAGTCCTGCCTCCTGAGTCCTGCCTTGAACCCTTGGCCTACTTTTCCTCAGCAATGAACAGGGAGCTATGAGACGAAATAATCCTCTTTTTCATCAAACAATTACAAACAAAAATTAAAATTTAAAATCTAAGGAGAAGCCTGGGTCTGAGTCAGGGCATGTAGCATTATTATGAGCAAATATGTGGTGGAGAGGTGAGACAGAAAGGGAAATGAGATCAGTTTGTTCTTTGTGAAGAGAGATGGGACTGTAGACATGAAGCTAGCAAGGAACGGCCTTTTGTGAGAGGCCTGAACTGCCATCAGAGGCCATGGTGTTATCTGGACCCGTGCTGCTGCAGAGGGCCATGACTGAGTTCATGGCCCTTCTGTAGCAGGGCTCTGTGTCAATGTCCATGCATTGTGGACCTCCTTCATCTGGGCTCCCATTTGAGGCCATGATGTTGTCTAGGTACGGTGCTGAGCTAGTCCAGACCCTCACCAAACACCACACAGTCACACCAGCAGTGATACAAGTGCAGAAAACATGGCCCAGTCTCTAGCCTGGGCAGTGTGCAATAGCTGGCCCCACTGGTGTGGACATGGGAGAGCAAGATCTACCAATTTCTGGGCACAGGACTAGGGTCAGCACACCCTGCAACTTGCTTGAGCAGCTAGGTAGAGCTGGTCCTGAACAAAGGTGTGGATGAGAATGACCTCATTAGTGTGGGAAAGTTGATTTTTACTGCTCATTTTGTATCTTGTCAGTGTCAGAGAGTTGGTTCTGGTGACATGGGTGAGGAACAGTTAAACCTGATTGTGTGGAGACAGAAAAAGCAGCCTCACCCCTCGCCTGGGCATCATGGAGAGCTAGAATTGGTGACCAACTCAGCTACCACTCAGTCCCAGAACCCGGGCTTTGAGCTGAACCACCCAACACATAGCACATCTGGAATTAAGGGAGGGGCAGGTCCTGCAGAACCAAAGTTGGAGGATCTCCACGGCACAGGATAGCCCAGAGGAGTCTCAGGGAGGACCCAGCATCAATAGTGTAGCAGAGCCCAGAGGCCTTGAACCAATCCAATGACTCATTGCAGTGAACTTTCACAAGTAAAGCTGTTGGTTTAATGATTACACCGTGTGACACACTGTGAGACACTGCAGCTTCCACCATGAGACTTTTTGGTAATTTTTATTTTCTATTGTCTTTTGGGGAGGGAACTTACAAGGGTGGAAGGCAGATCTGGAAGGACTGAAAAATAAGTGGGATTGAGCTGTATAATTTGAAATTCACAAACACTCAATAAAAAAAATGTGGAAAAAATTTAAACAAAGAAACAACCTTTATTCTTTTATGAAATGTTAGTGTGAAAAAAATTGTAGAAGTAATGATTCATTATGATAACCCATCTTATATCCATAAAAGTTGTGTTTGCAGCGTGGTGTTGTTTAATTAAATATGTAAGAGAAAGTTAGTTCAATAATTAAATCAAAACAATACCTGACAAAATTCATACATCTTATCATAATATATTACTGAGGATTGCCTCAGAGCAGGAAAGACAGACAATGTTGAGAAGTTTCAGAAAAGAATGAGATTGTGTTGTAAATGATGGTAAAAGTTGTAAATGCTGTCCTTTGTTTTGTTTTGCCTGTAAATTTTATTTTAACTTTTTGTTTGTTTTTATTAATTTTTTTCCTTTATTTTCCATACAAACCACAGTTTCCCCTCTTTACTGTCCTCCCATTCTCTCCATTCGTTTCCCGGCCACTCTCCATCTACGCCTCCTCCATTAAAAGGTACAGGTCCTCCATGGGAGTAAGCATAACATGGCCTATCAAGTTAAGACAGGACCAAGAATTTTCCCTCCATCAAAGCTAGTCAAGGCATTCCAACATAGGGAAATGGTTCCAAGGTGTCAGTTCATGCATCAGGGCCAGGTCATTGTCCCACTAACTACGAGGGACCCCACACACAGACCAAGCTATGTATCTGTCACCCACATGCAGAATACTTACGTTGATTCAATGCAGTCTCCCTATCTGCTGGTCCAGAGTCATGAGCTACCATTAGCTCAGGTCTGCTGTTACTTTGGTTTCCCCTCCCAAGATCTTGATCCCCCTGTCTCCTATGAAAATGCTGAATGAGACAAAGAAAGTTCAGAAATATACTAACAAGCAAAAATCCTTCCCCAGTTAGCATTTTTTTCAAAGATCAACGTTTAGGGTTAAGTTTTAATGTTACTCTCAAGATTGCACGTTGCTCATCAGCTGTACCGTTTTGAATTAGGCAAACAAGCAGAGTGAGAATGTAGATAGCATGGCCAGTGGGCTGCAAGGAGCTCAGCAATTAGGATGTCCACACAAGATTTGTCTTTTGAATATGCTCAGTTTATTCACAGCAAATGTTTCTTAATGTTAATAAACATTTAACAGACATCTCACCAGCAGGGAAGAGTTGGCAGTCAGAAAATGCTGTGCAGGGTTCCATTGGGGAATCTCCTCCCTTGAGAATGCTTAGGAAATTATCTATGGTCTGGACCCATTCCATGGTGACGTCCTTCAGCTGTTTCAAGCCAGCACAGGAAGAGGTCCAGAAAGTCCCTGAGAGGACAGTGGGGAACATGTGAGCTTAGCAACAGTGCTAGAAGTTTAATGGTAACTAACGCTAGGGTCACACACAGAGTCTAGTTTCAAAGTTCTCAATACAAAGCTTGAGTAGCCATTTCTCAGGAGGATAACGGCATGTGGTTCACAATCTGACCATATTTATACTGCTTGCATATTGGAACAGTCAAGTCCATATGCTTCCACCGTGAGACACTGCAGCTTCCACCATGAGACTTTTTGGTAATTTTTATTTTCTCCTGTTTTTCGGGGAGGGAAGTTACAAGCATGGAAAGCAGGTCTGAAAGCCCTGAGAAATGAGTGGGATTGAGCTGTATAATGTGAAACTCACAAACAATCAATAAAAAAATTGTGGAAAAATTTAAACAAAGAAGCAACCTTTATTCTTTTATAAAATATTAGTGTGAAAATAATTATAAAAGTAATGATTCATCCTGATATCCTTTCTTATATTCATACAAGTTGTATTTGCAGCTTGGTGTTGTGTAATTGCATATGTATGAGCAAGTTAGTTCAATAATTAAATTAAAACAATAACTGACAAAATTCATACATCTTATCATAATATATTACTGAGGATTGCCTTAAAGCAGGAAAGACAGACAATGTAAGAGAAGTTTAAGAAAAGAATGAGATTGTGTTGTAAATGATGGTAAAAGATGTAAATGTAGTCTTTTTCTTTTTGTTTTGCCTGTTAATTTTATTTTAATTTTTGTTTGTTTTTATTTTTTTTCCTTTATTTTCCATACAAACCACAGTTTCCCCTCTTTACTGTCCTCCCATTCCCTTAATTCATTTCCTGACCACCCTCCATCTATGCCTCCTCCATTAAAAGGTTTAGGCCCTCCATGGGAGTCAGTATAGCACGGCCTATCAAATTAAGACAGGACCAAGATTCTTCCCCTCCATCAAAGCTGGACAAGGCACACCAACACAGGGAATTGGTTCCAAGGAGCCATCAGGGACAGGCCCACTATGAGGGACCCCACAAACAGACCAAGCTACACAACTGTCACCCAGAAGCACACTAGTTAGGATTATTTTCAGACATACTTCTTCCTCTCTTTCTATTCTCTCTCTCTCTCTCTCGTTCGTATTCTTCCAGTCTCTGTTTCTCTCTCTCTCTCTCTCTCTCTCTCTCTCTCTCTCTCTCTCTCTCTCTCTTGGCAGACATCCACAAATCACAGAGTAGAACATCAGTGTTTCAGTGGCTTCCTTTCTATTACCTCTTATATGTTCAGTATTGACTAATCAATATTGATGAAGACAGACCCTCTATCCAGTTAGTGACTTCTAACAAGATCTTGACAGTTTGTGTCACCCAAAAGTTTAAGTTTAAGCTAGCTGAATGCCAAGGGCTGATTGTAGTCCTGTTCTGGTATTATTAGATGTACCCACCTGCTTACTTGTCTGATGTTTTAGGATTTAGTTTCCAACTTCCTGACCTATGCTAGAACTTTTGCATGTAGCCTGCTCGTTCATTTCCTGGCCATGCATATCTGAAATAATCACAAAGAAACTATATTAGTTGCAATACTGTGACTAATAGCTTAAGTATATTTCTAGGTAGCTCTTATATATTAAATTAACTCATTTCTATTATTTTATATCCCAAATGATAATCATCGTTTACAGTTAAGGTTCAGGTGTCTGTCTTTTCTGGTGTCTTCATCTCTCTGACTCTGCCTTATTTTCTTTTTTATGTCTGCTTGGAATTTGTGTCTTGCTCTATTCTTCCCTGTCATAGACCCAAGAAGCTTCTTTATTCATTAACGAATAAAAGAAACACATATGCAGAAGGACTTCCCACACCAAGAACTGGATTCTTTTTATTGATGTAAGTTTATGTACATGTAATTTTGTGGATTGTGTGAGTTTTTATTGTGTGCCATTTCTATTACTACTCTAAACAAATGATCAAGGTTGCTTTCCACATTTGAATTCAGAGTCAATCATACACATATCAGCTAGTATTTATTCATTATCAAAATAAGAAATTTAATTTTAAGACTTCCTCTTTTTTCTTGAGTATATGTAATGTCCTCTTTATATGTCTTGCTGAATGTTTTTCATTATTTACAACAAATAAAATTGGACCTAAAATTTCTAGTCTAGTCCTATACTTTGATTGGGACGTCTTTTGAATCTAGCACTTGGTCCATTTTGAAAGGTGTACCATAAAAATTATAGACATTGGAAATGATTTTATTTTATGCAATTTACATATAAAAATAGTTCACTAAAATTTGGGGAATGTTCACAAAAGATCAATAGATTAGAAGTGACTCTAAAATAAAGAAATTTCTAATATGTAGGACTTCTCATAGCCTTCAATATCGGATGGTCATATTCTCATTACTTGGGATTTGAATTATGAGTACAATAGTCGACCCCTGTACTGATGGCTACAAAAAACTTGCTAATTGAATTTAAGAACCACTCAAAAAGAGGGAAACCATGCCCAGTACTGAAAATCTAGCTAGCTATATAGAGTTGGTGACATCATAGATATTCAAGAAGAACTTATAATGAACTTTACTAAACCAACATACACAGGAAAGAGTAGTGTTCACCTTTTATAAAAAAGAAACTAAATCACTATTTGCAACAGATGGAGACCATACAGAAAATCACAATCAATCAAAATACAGAGCACACATGATTGTCTGGTGTCCAGCTCCAACTGACTTATCTACAGCACAGTACCCACTCCTAAGGCTCAGGAAGCACCATGGAAAGGCGACAAAAAACAATATAAGTCAGAGAAACAGAAAGTCTTCTATGAGAATCTTTCTTCCAGATGTCAAGAAAGCAGCATGCATGAAGTCTCATCAACATGGCTGCCTAAAAATGACCTGAACAAGAAGACCACTATACATATGAACACTAAAGTGAGAAATTGCATATGTCCCCAGTCTTAGGCAAAGTACTGGAGACAACTAAGAAATACTCAGAGTAGGAGGAATAATCTTCCCTAAGGAACAGTTCCTATATAGGTTATCAAAGTCCAATTGGGTTGACCTGAAATAATCCATATAAAAGTAACATTATACGGGATTAGCAGGTTGTATTTATATATTTAGGCAAATATATATTATATATGCATCTTTGTATTTATGTTGTTGTGTGTGCATGCATGTAGTTGTGCATGTGTATATATGAGTGTGTGTGTGTGTGTGTGTGTGTGTGAGAGAGAGAGAGAGAGAGAGAGAGAGAGAGAAAGAGAGAGAGGGAGGGAGAGAGAGATCAAAGCAAGGGTACAGAAAAGAAACTGATGGAAAGAAAAGAAAGGGGAAAGCATTTTAATTTCAAAAATTAAGATTAGAATGTAGCAGTGCTATTGCAGTAGGTTTATATGTTGCTGACGGCCAAATACTGTGGAGATTTGGAGACTCTGTTATAAAATGCAGGGATCGTGTCTGGGGAGGTGTTGAGTACTGCCTGGGAATCTAAGAGAAGTTCCATGGACTGCTATGGGCCATTTCAGAGTGACAAGTCCTCTGACTTTTAATTCTGAGAGCAAGTGTCACATGCCCTGTGGTTTGTGGAAGTAGCTGCCCTGAGACCGCAGTCTCACCTTGAAGCAGCTGTTCTGCTCACTAAAGGAAGTCTTAGAAT